TTTTAAAGCTTCCTCAGACAGCCATTTTGCTTTCTTGCATTTCTTTTCATTTGAGATGGTTTTAGTTGCTACCTCTTGTACAATGTTGCGAACCTCTGTCCATAGTTCTTCAGGCACTCTGTCTATCAGATCTAATTCCTTAAATCTATTTGTCACCTCTACTGTATATTCATCAGGGATATGATTTAGGTCATACCTGAGTGGCCTAGTGCTTTTCCCTACTTTCTTCGATTTAAGCCTAAATTTTGCAACCAGAAGCTCATGATCTGAGCCACAGTCAGCTCCTGGTCTAGTTTTTACTGACTGTATAGAGCTTCTCCATCTTTGGCTGCAGAGCACATAGTCCATCTGATTTCTGTGTTGACCGTCTGGTGATGTCCATGTGTAGAGTCGTCTTTTGGGTTTTTGGAAAGTGTGTTTGCTATGACCATCTTATTCTCTTGACAAAATTCTACCAACCTGTGACCTGCTTCATTTTGTACTCCAAGACCAAACTTGCCTGTTATTCCGGTTATCTTTTGGCTTCCTACTTTAGCATTCCAATCCTCCATGATGATAAGGACATCACTTTTTGGTGTTATTTCTAGAAGGTGTTGTAGGCCTTCATTGAACCGATCAACTTCAGCCTCTTCAGCACCAGTGGTTGGGGCATAGACTTGGACTACTGTGATGTTGAATGGTTTGCCTTGGAATCGAACTGAGATCATTCTGTCATTTTGGAGATTGTATCCCAGTACTGCTTTTCCTACTCTTTTATTGACTATGAAGGCTACTCCATTTCTTCTGAGGGATTCTTGCCCACAGTAGTATACCTGATGGTCATCTGAATTAAATTCACCCATTCCTGTCCATTTTAGTTCACCGATTCCTAAGACATCGATGTTCAGTCTTGTCATCTCTTGTTTGACCACATCCAGCTTGCCTTGATTCATGGATCTTACATTCCAGGTTCCTATGGAGTATAGATCTTTGCAGCATCAGACTCTCCTTTCACTACCAGATATATCGGCAACTGAGTGTCCTTTCGGCTTTGACCCAGTCACTTCATTCTTTCTGGCGCTACTAGTACTAGCCCTCTGCTCTTCCCCAGTAGCGTATTGGACACCTTCTGACCTGAGGGGCTCATCTTCCGGCATCATATCTTTTTGCCTTTTGGTACTGTCCATGGGGTTTTCATGGCAAAGATAGTGGAATAGGTTGCCAGTTCCTTCTCCAGTGGATCACGTTTTGTCAGAGCTCTCTGCCATGACCTGTCTGTCTTGGGTGACCCTGCACAGCATAGCTCATAGCTTCATTGAGCTACGCAAGCCCCTTCGCCACGACAAGGCAGTGATCCATGAAGGGGTGGTTTGCCATACTGCCAGGCAAAATGCATTCCAGCCTTACAGCTCCATGTGGTCCTGTCTTCCACTTTGCCAAATTACTGACACTTGTTTCTGATCAAACACCACTCCTAATTTTTGTTAGTGTTGGGGAAAAAATTGGGATGCAGTTTTTTAAAATATTGTTAACAGTAGAGTTCTGCATGTTCCTTCTTCTCAACTGGATCTCTAGAAGTCAAATTTCTTGGTGGAAGATGCATTGTCATGCAAATCTGCATGCTTGGGGAGGGCTTAGTGGTAGAGTACCTGCTCTGCATACGAACATACATGCATACATACCAAAAAATCAATCCCAGAATCTCCAGGGTAAAAGGCTCAAGTAGAAGGTGATGGAAAGGATCTTTGCCTTAAACCATGGAGAACTTTTGCCAACCAAACTATCCAATACTGGGGCAGACTGACCCTGTACAAAGTAGCTTCCTGTGCCCATATAGGAAATAGCATTCCTCTGCTGTCCCATCCCTCTCTTCCCTTTGATTTGCCAAGCATGTGTCTTACAGTTATTCTGCATTGTATGAAGTCATGAAGATATGCAACCAGCTCCATCTTGGGATAAATACATACGTACAACCAGATGTGTTATTATAGATCCGTGCAGCATCCTTAAATTGAAAGGATGAGGAGAGGAAGTTATTCTGGTATTTTTGTTTTATTAAGATACTCTGCCTTAGAATGTGCTGTAAGAGAGGTGACTGCAGAGTAAATCATGGATCAAGATGGAGGTCCAAGAAAAAGAGGCTCACAGTGATGAGCTTCTTTGTTCATATACATAGTCTGTGTAAGACCATGAGAAGAGCCCTGCTAGTGCAACATCCTGTTTCTCAGACCAGTCTAACAGATGGCAGAAGGATATGAGTATAATAGCCTTCTACTGTTCTCCTCTGATAGCTGATATTCAGAAGCATGCTGCCTCTGCACATGAAGGTAGCCTCTAGCCATCAGGACCAGAAGCCACTGAAAGTCTTATTATATCTGGTTTGGACAACACATGAGTAAACTATGGAATTCACCAGCTTAAGTTGTACTGATGCCAACCCACATGTACAGCTTAAAGGGGGAATTAGGCAAATTTTATGGAGGAAAATGGCAAGGCTATCAGTGGTTGCCAGCTGTGGCGCCTCTCCAGTACCAGAGGCAGCATGCTTCAGTCTACAAGGTGTTGGAGAATACAGACAAGAGGGTGCCATGTCGCTTTCTTCCCACTTGTGGATTTCCCATGGGCCTCTGGTTGACCAATGTGTGAGCAAAATGCCAACTGGGTGGACTGCATTCTGATCCAGCAAGGCTCTTCTTATGTGCTGAAGGGAGAACCTGTGATGATTCAGCTCCTTTGCCCAGTTTTTAACAGGCACTGTGACCTCCTCTTCCTGCCTCATGAGTTCTTGAAAGAGAAGCAGCCTATCTTAAGGATCTAGTGGTAAGACACTTTTTTCTCCAGCTGGAGGAGCTGAAGAAGGATGCTGTTAATGGAGGGTTAGGAAGCAATTATAGCAGAAGCCAGCCTTTGAAATGCTGCCATGCAACAGACATCTGTATATCCAAAAAGAGATCATGCAGTCGCAGTGCTGTGAGGCTTGTTTTAATAGATGCTTTAACCTACAACAGGAAGCAAAGGCCCTTTAGTGATACATAATGGAGATGGGCAGTGCTGCCTCCAGGTCTTTGAGGACCTTTGGGCAGGACATTCTCAATGACATCCTTCTCACCATCATTATAGCCAGCTGCCATTGCTTCTCAGCCACTTTCGCATCATTGCCACTGGTGGCTTGCTTGATAGGCGGAGAGCCATGCAGGTCGTGGTGTCTCCTGCTGCTTCTCCCAGGGCAAGAGGCAGGTGAACAAGCAGGCTGCAACGGTGAAGAGGAGGAGCACCCAGGGGGCTGCTGCCAGAGGACTCCTACTGGTGCATGGACCCATGGCAGGCACCCGGTCATGCCTGATCGTGATGCCAGCCCTAATGGTGTGGGAGGGGAAATGCTCAAACATTGATCCTTTGTGTGAGGTATTTAAAGGGTGTCTCTATTTCCATCCATCCAATATTTTCAGTTCAGCCATATCCACCGGAAAACCTGACTCTGGAATTTGAGAAAAAAGTATATGGAGAATATCTGTTGTTGAACTGGACTGCGCCTTCCCTGGGTGACGTCAGATCTGGCTGGCTAACATTTGAGTATGAGTTACAGATAAAACCTGAAGAAGGACAAGAGTGGGAAGTAAGAAGAATGTTAGCTCTTGGTAGCCAAATGTTCTGTGTTTCTGCTATAGATTATATTGTAAAACATGGTCATTGGAGCAAAATAACATTTAGAGAGCAGTATCCCATTGCACTGTATCACAAAGAATTTAATTGTAAATCATAATAGCCGCATCATGTCAAGAATTCTTCATATCTAGCTACTATATTTCTATCTTGGGGATTTAGGTTCCTTCCAGACTAGAAACTTCTGGCATTGTAAACCAAAAGATATCAAGCAGATATTTGTTTTTTCCTTCTCAGTAGTATTTTGTTTTTTGTGGGTGGGTTCAGGAGGGTTTCAAGTAGGATATGCCATCTGGACTCTTCCTAAAATTATGCAAATAATGCAGGGCATTTGCCTTATTGAAGTCTTATTTGGGAGCACTCTTAATCCACAAAAGGTTCTTGTAGCAGTTAACATATCAGAAAACAATACATTTGGAAGGAATGATCAGATGTCCCTGGTCATTTTCTGGGGACAGGCAAGGACATAGGATAGTTCAGATTCCTTCTCCAGGGTCAGAGACAATGATTTTAGATCCAGGAATCAGAGGTCTGATCTCACCCCCTCACAGCCAGCGTGGAAAGAACTGTGGTGGCTGCCCCCCAATGGAGGAAAGAGACCTTGGAGAGGGGGAGAAGGAGGCATTTCGGTGGCTTGGAGGAGAGGAGACTGGAGTGGCTGAGAGATGCCTTGCGAGGATACAGAGCAGGGCTCCTCCCACTCTGCACTGGATGCCTATACACTTTTTATTTATAATAAACTGAGCTCAAGGGTTCTGGGTATCTCCATAGGATTGCAGACTTAAGAACAGGGGGATACATCTATGCTGATACTAACCACTTAATAGAAGTATAGACATTTGTTTCTAAACTCTTAAAGAGATGGATTGGGACAGGAGGAAGGTAAATCAGGATCTACTGAGAGATCTCTGGGTGCTTTGTAGGACATTGGTTAGGAATTTTGATAGTTTTGTTGAATCAGACCAAAGGGCCATCTGGTGAGCATCTTGTTTTCTCCCTGGGCCTTTTTTCAGAAGATCAAAAGCTGCACATAAATGCAATTACCTGAAAAGCATATTAAGATTTTGTTTCCATTCACAAACCTTTTGAAAGTGCCCTGTTTGCGACCCTGGAAGTGAATGTGGGTGCATGTTCTCCGAAAATGTTCACAAATTCCTGAATTTGTATTAACTTAAAAGAAAAACTTTTAAAAATGAAATTCCATGGAGGAAAGGTGCACACTTCTGAAAAATACATGCAGAAATATTCATTTTTCCATTCAAAATTGTCTCTTTCTGCATTCAAATAAACAGAAAACTTTGAAGTAAAATTTGGAAAATTTCAGCAAGCTTAAGCTTTCCTGATTCTTCCATCTCAAAGTAAGCTTCCCCTGCTTATTTGCCTGCCTGCCATTCAGTGGTATATTGCCTCCAAATGTAAAGGTCACTTTTAGTCATTTAATCTATGGATCAAATTAGACATGGTGTTATTTTCATAATCTGAATTGTAAGCATGTGTGTTTCAGCACATGCATAGGAGGGATGTGTGAAATGGAGCCAATCAGGGTGATGGCACAGATGAGCAGGGGTTCAACCTATTGCCCTTGAAGGAATGGGAGTATGTTGGGTCTGTGATCACATAATAAAGATAGATAGAAGGAATAGACACATCCTGGCTATGCCCAGTTGGTGCCAAGCTAGTATCCATGGCTACATCATGAAGCTGTGAATTCCAGAAGATATTTAATTGTGCAAAAAAAGTGCTTTCTTATATTTAAACAACACAAACTCTTGTTGCACCTTAAAGATGAATACATTTCCCAGCTGAGGGTTGAAATGTATCAGTCCCAGGACTGAGTCTCAGCACTGCAGACTGCTCTTTGTCTGAGCACCCCGTGCGATGGCCGCACCCTTCACACAGCCGGTGCAGCAGCGGGACTTGGTTACAGCACAAGCCTAATGTTTTTAATAACAATTTACAAAAACTTGGTATGCTGAAGAAGGTGTAAGAGAGGGAGGCTTATAGAAGGAAATGAATTTAAAAGCAGGAGGAGGAAGGGGAGAATGAGTTGGCCATAGAGAAGAAGAAACTATAGGAGATGGGGAGGAAGACATTTAGACACATGTTTGGAGGAAAGAAAAACAATCCAGACAGTTTTCACTACTTGCAGCAGAAGTTCCCAACCTCTCTGGGTTGGTGGGCACATTTGGAAGGTTGAGAAAATGCCGTGGGCACTCGCACAAATGGCTGCCTTGCTCATTCATAAAATGGTTGCCATGGTGGCACGGCCAGTCACAAAGGAGTTGCCTAGAGTACAAATTGGTGACACGAAAAGAAAAATAGCTCAAGAACCTGAGGGCAAGGCAGAGGTGGAGGGCTCAGCTCCAAAATTAAAAAGCCACTATTTTAAAGTTGGATAAAGATTTTGAACTCAAATAAAGGGGGCCATTTTGCTTGTTTTGCCAAATGGTCTCCCAGTTTAAAAAATACTTCAGATAGATTTAGGAAATAAAATTAAAATCAGGAGAAGTACAGGACTAGATACAGGCACTAAGACTGTGTCTGTGGACACCCTGTCGCCCATGGGAACCATGTTAGAAATCCTGACTGAGAACCTCTGGTCACCATTTTTTCCTGAAATGTTTGAAAGAATTTATCTATTTTCACTGAAGAAATTAGATATTTTTATTTTATTTATTTATTTATTTATTTATTTATTTATTTTTATTGGGATTAATGTCCTGCCTTTTTCTTACAAAGGGCTCAAGGCAGCTTACATCATATCTCCTCCTCCATCTTGTCCCCACAACAACAACCCTGTGAGGTGGGTTGGGCTGAGAGTCTGTGACTGGCCCAAAGTCACCCAGTTGGCTCCATGACCGAGCGGGGACTAGAACCCAGATCCTCTGAGTCCCAGTCCCATGCTCTTAACCACTACGCCACACTGGCTCTCCACACTGGATATCAGTAGAAAATACCATTGATGGTCAACAGATTATGCCAAGTTCTACCTCCATGTATGCCATTTTGTAACTGATGGACCTTATCCAATTGCACCTTTCTAAAGCAGTCCCCAGGAGTAGACAGGTTGAGAACCTCTGGAATAGGATTTTTATGGCACCTTAATCTGACCTTTATCTATTGTCAATGGATGACCTCCAACTTCCACTGTTAGGGGAGACTGCTGAAAAAATAAATTTCTTTCCCCCTTTTCCACATCATAGGACTCATTTTATAAATATAGTCAAAAGTACAAGTCTATTTTGTTTTTGTTGCTGCTAAAAAGTTACCCCTTGATGTTTATACTGTCTGTGTTCTTTATATATTTCCAGAAAATATTTGTTGGGCAGAGAAAAACATATAAAATGTTCAGTGTAAACCCAGGACAAAAATATGTTGCACAGGTTCGCTGCAGGGCAGACCTTGGAATTTGGAGTGAATGGAGCCCTAAAAGTTATATTAAGCTTCAAAAAGGTGAGGATAAAGATTAATCAGACTTTTATTATCTGACACCAACAAATGAAACTATGAACTAGTTTAGTTTATTTTTATGATTATGGTGTTTTCCCATTAAAATTATAATGAAAACAGCTCACAGTATAAAGCTGTCAGAAAATATGCAAATATAGAAGAATGCATCAGTAGAATAAAACAGAAGTTGTCAGACATCAGTAGTAAGATAATCAGTAGTAACATGTCAAGATGCAGGACAACATTTCGTTGAGAACATCATAAAACATCAGATTAGAGCACAAGCCTATGAATGATTAAACAAAAACATCCTACAACTCCCAGCAAAGAAAAGCTGTAGAATGTTTATGTACATTGTGTATAAAATTGTACCTTTACTGATTTAAAAATGATTTAACATCTTGATCACCAATGGATAAAGATCTCTAGCTTTAATCACTGATTATGTTTCAAGAGACATAAACTAAAATTTAAATTTACAAAGAGGAAAGCCAAAATGATGCTCAAAGCTTTGTACTGTATGATTGAGAAGGAAGCATTAAGGGCATTTTCTTAGACCAGCAATGATGGAGCATACAGAATACACTGAGTTTGCGGGAGTTCAGCTGGATGCGTGGTCTTTTTTATGTTGTTTCGCATCTTTTAGATTGTTAAGTCTACAGGAAGGGGAGCCATTACAGACCAGGAACCTTTTTGACTGAAATAAACAAAAAAATCTGTATGTTCTTTTCAAAGTTATGAAAGTGACATAGCTAATCCCTGCAGCATTTTATAGGACAGGATGATACGTAATATATTCATGCCCTCTTTGGAACCGGTTTATCTGTAGTAATGAACAAACATTGCCCGAGAATCCTCCTTGAGGGATTTGGGCTTGTTGAGCATGTTTAATGAAAGATTAGCTGTAACCATGAGGTTAGCTGAGATCCATAGTGGCATTAGATCAGGACTGAGGAAACCCCAATTTGAATTTAATATAAATCCTACTTAATGAAGACCAATTGAAATGAATGGGGATTAAATTATGTTCAACCAAGTGGATGCATCCCCTGGTTCAGGTGTCACCAGGCATTCTCACTGGAGAATGTTACTGTATCACAGGGTTGCTGTGTGGATAAAATGGCAAAAAGTTTACCATGTCGCCTGCTGTGAGCTAAAGAGTGCAATAAAATGATGTGAAACAGCATGAGATTTAAGCCCTCCTCCTTTTTTCTCCTAGAAATCCAAACGGAACTGAAAGATATTCTAGTTTGGACCTTTGTGGCTTTTTTATTACTTGCCATATGCGTGATTATGATCTGGACCCTGGTATTGAAAAGAACTGAGTAAGTTTCTGCTTCTGACATTGCAGGATGGTAAAAACAAGCAAATTGGCTATTGCTATCTCAGATAAGATGTTGGCTGGTTTCTCTGTCATATATCTTATGAAGCTAGAGAAGGGGAATACATATAAAATATTAGGACAGGATTAAAAGGCCAGTACCTTTTCTCTGCTAGACAACCACTTACCCATAACCATTGCCCCTAATCCTAATTTAACCTATAAATAATAGGATCACATTTGATTACGGACCAGCAGAATGTCTAGCTGGCCAAGGCCAGACAAGTAAGACCTTCTCTGGTTGGCCATTTCCCTAATCTTACAAAAATGCTGCCAAGCAACCAAAAGAAAGCTAGCCTGGGCAGTCTGGGGCTTTTTTGCATCAGGGGAGTTATGTAGAAACAACCAATGAAGCTGTGGGAGTTTTACCCGCTTTGGGTGATACTTTTTTTTGGCTGAATAGACAGCTTTTGCTCTGCCCCAGTTATTGGAGGAGAGGGGCAGCCTGCCTCCATCCCCACGCTTACTTCGATGCCAGAGGGCTCACCCCACCCCCCACAATCCCTGTCTTGGTACCAATTTTTGTATGAGTTAACAATGTGCAGCTCTGTCTGGAATAACAGAGGGCTTCCTTCAGCATTTTAAAAAGCTACAACTGGAATGAGAACTTGGTGTTGATACAGTAAATGGGATAACTTTGGACAACCTTCCAAGAGAAAAAGAACCACACTTCACCGATAGGCTTTGCACGTGGGGCCTATATTTCATTCACAGGTGTATCTTGTCAAAGAGTGCCAGGGCCAAACTAGACAATATGTCTCATTTGTCTTATTTAAATAGCAGCTGCAGTTGGAATGAGAATGGAATCTTCCATTCCAGGGAAAATACCAATGTGGGACGGAGATTATTTGTATGAGGAATTATGCTCGCATGACCATGTGTCCTGTTTTACAGTTCCAGTTTACAGGACAAGAATAAGAACAAACCACCAATGTTGTTTATCCATAGTTCACACTACGCATAGGATTTCTCACAAGAGGAGAAAGGGTAGGATGTAAATGCAGTTGAATAACAAGTGAGGAAAGTGTTTCAGGCATCAGAAGCTGGAGGGCAGGCCCTATCCATTTTCCCCTGTTAAGGAACAAGCTCAGTTTGCCACACAGGCTGTCCTGAGCCCCCAGACTGAGTCATTGCCTCAGATATCAAGGAGGACATCATTGCATCACCTGCACTGAACAGACAGTTCAGCCAGCATCAGTTCGCGGAAGCAGAAGTGCCAGCTTGTGCTTCACTCAGGCAGCAAACTGCTGTAGGCGGAAGGGAGAAGCATCTTCATTCTGGAACATCCTATGGAATGCCAGAGACCACATGTAGCCCCGTGAAAGTGCGTGCTGAAGTGACAGATGGAGGCTCCGTGGCAACTGCTCCTTCAAAGGGACATTTTGCCTGGTCCTCTGCCATTTGCAGACAGCTCAGAAGCCACCCGTGTTGTGTAAGCCCTCCCTATACAGCAAGAGCTGCAGATCCCCTGCATCTTCTACCAAAAAGATTCAGCAGTGCTCCCAAGGGTTTCCATAGTTAGTAGTAGCACGACAATCCTTTCCTTATTTCTGATCTTTGCTGATCTCTTTATTTCTGTATTATATTTATATCTCTCCTTTTTTCTATCCAAGGAACTCAAGGTGACTTACATAATTGTCCTCCACCTCTTAATCTTATCCTCACAACAATAGCCTTGTGAGAATCTGTAACTGGCCCAAATTCACCCAGTGACTGAGCAGGGACTAGAGTCCCAGTACTGCCGTCTTTACCACACTGGCTCTTGCTTTGGTGAAGCAGAATTCAGAGATAAGTAAGGAATTCCCTTGCTGATACTAATAATCTAACCCCTCCTTCATCTCTTATCTGTCAGCAGAGATCAGAGTAAAGGGAATGCTTTGGAGAGCAAGAAGGAGGGGAACCAGTTGTGAAACCTAAGGCTTACATTCAGTTCTCTTCTTGTGTCTCCCTCTTGTCTTCCAGCATGGTGGCCCGCATTTTGCCTCCTGTTCCAGGACCAAAGATAAAAGGCCTTGATGCTCAGCTGCTAGAGGTGAGCATTTAGAATTTCTTCTTGGCAACATAAGACCATCAGTCAGAAAACTGAGATAGTTATATATGATGATAAGAAATACCCACATAGGTCTGGTGAAATGTCATAAGAAAAAGAACTAGTGCCGAAAAGCAAAAAAAGGAGGCAGCATCAAGATTTGTGCTCAGGAATAAGCTTTTCATCTGTCTTTTTTTTTTTTTTTTTTTTTTTTTTTTTTTTTTTTTTTTTTTTTTTGCTTGCTTTCATGTGATACTTCAAGGGTGTTTATCTATCTGATTCTGATGCAAACAACCAAAAAGCTCAATACCTTTGCAGCTAGCAACATCCTTGAAGGGACCTGTTCTAAGTTGTTGCCCTCTGGATCAGTGAGAGGCAGATCATTTTGCCCCTGTGTGGGCTGTACCACACTATACTATCTCCGAGCCCCAGTCTGAAGCTTTGTCTCTCTATACTGTCTTTTGGGATCTCAGGGAGAGCCTCCACTTGTGCAAATACATAAGCCATGAGGTCCAGCTCAGTTCCATGTAGCTAGATGGTCCTCTATGAGGAATAGGAACTTTCAGCTGTGGCATTTTCTTTGAAGGTTCCTTCCACTCCCTCTTCTTGGAGGTCTGCTCTTTTCCAGGAGAATAATTAAGCGCTGTTGCAGAATGTCTAGCTGGAATCTTTAAATTCTTCATTAATCTGTTGATATAGTTTCTCCATGTTATAGACTGAATGTCTTATTGGGATGGCGTTATGTTTCTGTCTTAAATTCTGTATTATTGTCATTCTTAATCATCATAGTAGTAACTTTGGGGGGCTTTGTGAGCTGAAAGTCATATTATAAACTTAAAATAAGTTCAAGTTTATGTGGAGGGACTTTTGGTGCCACATGCACTTTCAAAATGCTGCTGTGAATACTATCAGGGGGAGTTAGAAAGAGTGAGGAGGGTGTAGAGAAAGACTGTTACTGGTAAGTAGAGAGTTTGAGGTGAGGTTGATAGAAATTATTATTATTATTATGTCGGTAGGTTAAGGTTATAGTGAAGAGAAGAGAAAGATGTTTAAGGAGGTAAGTTGAGGCAAAAAGAGGAGTTCTAGACTTTGAGGTAAGGCTAGGGATGGAATGAATCCGAAGCAGCCAAGGAGGCTGTCACAGGAGAACTGGAGAAAATGGCGGAGTTCCAACGTTATATACCACAGAGGGAAGGGGACAGGGCTCCCTCCAAAAACACTTAGCTAGGGAATCTCTCTCTTTCCGACAATCAGGCCCTGCCCAGGCACAAAGCCCATATGTGTGATGCACAGAAACCACGATGAAGAATGTCATACTGTAAACTTAAAATAAAGTGAATATGTTTTGATCTAGTATAGACTAATACAGCAAAGAATAGCATGTAAACAGCAAAAATTGCTGAGTCTGGATGTCTTTGCATGTAGCTAAAATGGCACCATCCAACAAAAGGGCGGTATAAGCAGGACTGAGGGAGACCCAAGATCTTCAGAAGTAAAACAAGAAAAAGAAAAACTTAAGTAGCAATGGCAGGGGTGTGTAAGGAGCCCAAAATAACTCAGTGGCAACTGAGTCTGCTTACTGGGCATGAAATACTGTCTGGCAGAGGGTGAGCAACTGTGGTGGTGTAGAGAGAATGGAATGGAGTATCTCAGAAAAGGTACCGCTAGCTGGCACCCGGAACAAGAGCATTTTCACTGCATGTAAATAACAGTAAGGATGGTGCACTGCGCCATTTTCTTGCCTCCATCTACCTTTGTTGCATCTGCAAATGTCACCAGCTACATAGTACGAACATTATTTCTGGCATAATACCATTGTCTCTTTTTGTGTTTCGTTACTGCAGGCAGGAAAAACTGAAGAATTATTGAGTGCTCTTGATTGCCAGGGTTTCCCTCCAACTTCAGATTATGAGGACCTGCTGGTAGAATGTTTGGAAATAGATGACAGTGAAGAACAGCAGTTAATGCCAAATCGTGAAAACAGTCTTCCCAGTCGAAATGTAAAGTTGGTACAGCAGGAAACAGACAGTGACTCAGGGAGAGGAAGCTGCGAGAGTCCTTCTCTGTTGTCAGAGAAACGCAAGGAAGCCAGAAATCCAGCCTTTGAATTGAAAGTACCAGTTACCAATGAGGACCAAAGCAACATTGGTGCAAAAGACATTCCAGAAACACCAAACATAGATCCTGAAAGACAGCTCCCCTGGTTTAGCAGTAGTGGATCAAAGGCATCCACATGGCCTGGAATGCAACAAGCCAATTGTCAGATTCCCTGTCATGACACTGTGGGGGCACATAAAACAGCATTCAGTGCCATGAATGTAAAGAGATTGCCTATTTTTATACAGTGTTTTGAAAAATATTGTTCACAACATTCTAAGCCAACTGAGACTATTAGCAATGGGAAAGCTGCAAGTTTACCCTTCAGTGCTCACCATGACCAAGGAACATTGTGGCTACTACCTCCAGAGAAATCAACTTTCTTTTCTACAAAGCCAATGGATTATGTTGAAGTTCACAAAGTCAACCAGAATGGAATGCTGGCTGTATTACCAAAACAGAAAGAAAATTTTGGAAAAACTGAAAGGCAACCTATATCTGGAGATACTATGGAATACACCAAAGTTTCAACAGTTGTAACAAACAATATTTTGGTATTATTCCCAGATCCCAAAAGGAAGGTTTTCTCTTCCTTTCAGGAGCCACCAAAGGAACCCATCCAGAGCTCTCAGCACAGCCAAGCAGAGAAAAATTTGAGCAACAGCCCCATAGCTCCAAGCACTTGCAAAATACAGACTGGTGGATTAGATTACATGGATCCAAGTAATTTTATGCCCGTCTTTAATTAACTGAAAGGTTGACTGTCCTTCTAAAGGTAATACCACCAAAATAAGCACTATTGATGCAACTTGCTCAAATATTTGAATTAGCTCAGTTGTAGCTCACACATTTTTATGCTTTATGTTCACTTAAGAACATGCTGATAGCTGATGCAGATGATTTTTTTCTGTCTGTGATTTTTAAAGCTATTTTTATAAAGACTGACTTACTGGAAATTAAAAATACATGGTGTCATTTTTGAAAAAGGAAAAAAGCCAACCAACACCCATGAAATTTGTACAGTGATGTAACAAAACTGTAGTGCAGATCATTATGTGATGTTGCTGGTTAATAGTACAGACTGACTTTCTCGGGTACTGTGAAAAAATTATAATCAAACACCAGTGAACTCCACACCAGTAGTGTCCAACCTATTTTTAGTAAGTGCACCACAAATACAAGTAAAAATATGAGCTAGTAGTGATACCAGTGAGAGAGCTACAGGCTTTGTGGGGACTTACCCTTTAGTTTACTGAGCCGTGAAATGGACCACAGTACAGGAGAAATAGGCAGGAGGGCAGGCCGCAGACTGGACTTCGGAGTGCAACAGACCTCTGTGCCCATGCTGCTTGTTGTGACATTTGTAGCAGGGCTGGCTCCAGATTTTGGGGGGCCTCAGGACAACAATATCAGCAACTGGTAGTCCCTTAGCAGCTTTGCAAGGATGCAGTTGGCTGGTGCTGGGTCTCCTCAAGGCCATTGGTTGGCCACCTATGAGCTATACATGTTGCTGTGCAATAGTAAAACTAGCCAAATATAACAGTAAACACAACTGTAAGTGGTCAAATCATAGAATGACAGAACCAGAATAATGGAGTTGGAAGGGGTCCATCAGGCCATCAAGTCCACCCCCTTTCTCAAGGCAGGTCTCCAAGTTAAAGCAGCAACTTGCATTAGAGGCAGTATTAAAGGACAGAAAAATAGAAACTGAGCAAGTCAGAAGGGGTCTCCTGGACCATCTAGTCTGACCCCCAGTTCCAGCCAGCTCTGCTCATGACATGCCTACCATGTGCATGTCCAGCCTATCCTTGAACACCCTCACCGACAGGGTCTCAACCACCTCCCGTGGAAGCCCATTCCGTACCCTCGGGGTCCTAACTGTCAGGAAGTACTTCCTGGCATCCAAACTGAACCTTGGTTCTTGATAATCCACTGGGTCTGGAACCGTAGATCTCTGGGAGGGCATCTGCCCCACCACCCTGCTGCCATTGCAGGATTATCGCATTGTTGTTCAAGCAATGTCAGTGACATCCGCCTAATGAAAAATGGCAAATACATTTAATGATGCTCCACAACATATTTTAACATATTTGATAGAGTTTCTTCTATCATATTTTTCTGGTTTGTTTTTTAAAGCCCTGGTTTTATTGATGTTAAAAATTCTAATGCCGAACATCTTGTGTCAAAGTTATATATTGAAAGTATTTCTTGCTAGAGAGTAAAACCTTCTAAATCCTTTTTCCTGCTTCTGTGTGATAAATTTTTGCATATCCTTTTTGCTGTGTAGTCTCCTTAAACTAACTTTGAACAAAGCCCATTAACATCAGTGGGATTACTTATAAGTTAGTGGTTTTAGGATCCCACCATTTAGGAGAAAAGAAAAAATAGATGTGCACATATCTATAATTATATAAATTACCCCACAATAGGTTTTTCTTTCAAATACTGCCTTATTGTACATAAGAAAAAGTCCACTTTAATATAAACCCTGTGCATTTTGCAGAGTATTTTTATATTATTAAAAATAAACTATTTTCTAATTTCCCAGAGCTAACTTTTATTGCCTTTTTTCTGCTTCAGGAAGCAGAGACAATAATAAGAGAATGATACAATTTCTGTAACAAAACTCTGTCCATATAAGAATAACCCTGAATTTCTGCAAAACAGTTTTTTAGTTTCTTGTTTTTGAAGGTGTTAGTCCTTTCTGATCTATCAAGACAGCATCTTCTTACAAGGGCCTGTCCTTTCTGTGCAGTTCCCTTTGCCACTCCCGGTATGGCATCGAATTGGTTGCCACCTTAATTCCAGTTTTAACAGTAGTGCTGCAGGATCCCAATGCCTCCTTTTGCAGGCAGAGGTTAACCGAGAAATGTTCTGCTCCTGGGTGGTTTAATGTCGCCTCCAAACCTGAACTTCAGGCTTCTCTCTCCACTGACAAGCCACAAAAAACAGCTCTAGGACAGACCATACTCCAAGTAAACATTATTCTGTCTATCCTACCTCACCATTCTATTGTGAGGACAGAGGGGAGGGTTGTAGTTTCTCCTGTGTCAGAAGGTGGGAGGTTTTGTCCGCAGCATCTCTAGGTTGGGCTCGGACAGGACACCTGTCTGAATCAGTGGAGAATGACTCCCGGCCAATGAAGGCGGGCTGAGCTGGACAGGCAAACGATATGGCTTGGTATGAGGCAGCTCTCTGTGTTTCTGTGCTCATGGGAAGAAAATGGAGGCAAAAGTCAGCCACAGGTCTGCCCATTTTTGGTCTTGTTCCCTGTCTTCATAAAAATCTTGACACTGGTGAACATTAAGAAGCATTATTAAAAGGTGCATCAAGCTGTGAGTTCTTGTCTTTTAAAATTATTTTACAAATATACTTAGTAGATTTTGCAAATACAAATTGTAAAAGTAGTTTTACAATAATTCTTAAATTACACTCTGTGTTTACTTTTAAATAAAATGGAAAGCATTTTAATGGTCACCATTAATATTTTGCAAAAAAAAGTACATCCCTTTAAACTAAATATTTTATATACCTAAAATATCTTTGTCTTCTGTATGACTGACAGCCAAGTTTGTGCTCTCACATCTGCCAATAGAGCTGGCTATTAACTTCTATTTAGCAAAAATCTGTAAGATGTCCTGTATCAGTATTTTCAATTGTTTCAATAAAGGAAGTCACATCTTGAGTTTAGAATAGCTGAGCAGAGCTGTCAAGGATAGAGTATTCTGAAAGACATTCATTCATAGGGTTGCTGTAAGTAAGACAAAAATTGACTGCATGAAACAACAATTTCCTGGAATTCAAACATTTATTTATTTGTACTATTTCTATATGGCTAAATATTACAAAAATCCCTAAGGAGTTTCCATATAAATATTAGAAATAAATGCACTTTTAAAACAATAGAATCATAACAATGCATAATAATACAGAGCAGTACAATAAAATAAAAGGGAATAGCATGAGGATTTAGTTATGGGTCTAAGGAAAGCCTGGATGAGCGTTTCAGAAGTTTTGAACTGAACTTCACAAGGGAGTTTCACCTACAGAGTGTGCCTTTATCTGTGAATATAATGATTGGTAGGATACATTTATCTGTCAGGTATCCTGGTCCTAAGCTATACAGGGTTCCTGTGACAATAACGTCCTTAAACATGACTAAGTCTCTCCTAGACGACTCGTGTAGCTCTTATGGGAGCATCGCTGGGTGTCCCACGGAGCACCCCAGCAGCTGCAGCTCCTAAGCCAGCCCCAAGTGCAGCGCCACGCAGAGCACATCGCAATAGCTTAGTCATGAGGTTGCCAGTGCATGGATCGCCATGACGAGATTTATCCCTGTTTAGGAAAGGCATAGCAGCCAGAGTTAGCAATGGGCACTGAGATCACCCAGGCCTCCAAGGACAAAGCTGGGACAGAGTCACTTCCAAACAGAGTAGCTGCTCCTTCGGAGGAAGTGCAACCCCATACAGAACACACACACACACACCCGCCCAATTTCTGGATCTAGAAATCACCAGCCCTGTTTTGTCAGGGTTCAGCTTCAGTGCGTTAGCACTCACTGAAGCCATATCTACATGCAAGCACCATTCAGAACAGGCACGACCTCTCTGCATTCGGATCTCACAGAAAAATGGAACTGGGTTTCATCAGCACCCTGCTGATGCCTTGCCCTAAATCTTCTGATGACCTCTCCTAAAAACGATTGTAGAAATACTCAGTAAAATTGGGAACAAGATGGTATCCCACAATTCAGCCTCTATGGCACCAAAGTGCAGTCACTCTGGGCTATTTTCTGGAGCTGACCCAATGAGTATGAATTGTAAACACTGCCTCTCACCCCCAGGTAGGGGGATACCATGATCAACCGTATCCAAAGTAACAGATCTAGAAGAAGAACCAGGTTCATACTTTCTCTGCTCAAAGAAGGCCATCCATCAGAGTTAGTTCCTTCCCAAAACTGGCCCTGAATCCAGACTGAAATGGAAGCCCTGTTTCATTCCAGAATATATGCAGCTGAAATAGCACCACTCTCTCAAGCACCTTATTCAGGAATGGGATATGGGAAACCAGACATAGTTGGCATAGATCTCTGGATCAAAGAAGGGTTTTTTCCAGGATGGTTCACACCACTTCTTCCTTCAAAGCAGTGGGGACAAGTCCATTACACCCTGATCCATCTGTCCAGCTCCCCATGGCTAGCTTGAGAAGGGCCAAGGCAGCATATGGTGGGTCACAGATGCAAATGTCTTCTCCACTTCTTAAGCTTCAAAAACCGGAACTGATCCTACAAAACAGAGTTGCACAATGCTCTGGGCACGTCAGCATGAAGATGAGCAATTTTGTCCTTGTAAACTCATCACAATGGGCCTCTGATTATTCCAGTATTTGTTCACTGCGGTTAGAGGAAAGTGACTCCCACACCACTCAGTTGGAGAGCTACTCATGGAGACAATGGGTATGGCAAAGTAAGCCTTCTTTGCCTCCTTCACTGTCATACAGGAGGAACAATTATATGCACTTAGTCACCTTCTTGATGAGCCTTACGCCACATGCTCCAGCCATCTTCTGACCTGTTGCATTGTCTGAAGCTCTCCAGTAAAGGAGACCCCACAATGTCAAAGAGGGAGCTCAAGATCGTGTCAATGTCCTTTTGCTCCTCACCATTCCATTGGAACAGAATCACTGGCTCTGGCTACTGAAAACTGTCCCAGAACATTCAGGAATCACCTGGATTCCACAAGACTCTGTG